TGCAAGTTTAAGTAACTATCTTTTGCAACACGATACCTTATAACGAAATATAATTAAGGGATCACGACGTTTGTTAAAAAATTATATATGTGAAAAAAAGATTGTTTCCAACACTGGAATATAGAACATATTATATACGGGGTGGCGATAAAGTTATCACATTAAATGAAAAGACTTATCCTATATAACGTTCTTTGAACATACATAGTCGCAATAGCCCTTTTTTTAGTTTTTTTTTTCTATTTACTTATGAATGGGAAAGTGTAGGTAAATAATTACCTATGTCGATGCCGCGTAAGCACTGCGCACCTGCCGCACCGTTGCCGCTTTTACATCTCACTTCTAGTCACTAAACTAATATTATCAAGGTGATTTATTTCGTGTTAATTTTTACGCTATTTATTTTGTTTAAAAGATGCATTTTTTATTTTTGGTAGAATTGTTTATTTTATTATTTTAATCGATATATATATGAACTTGTATATACCACTGTGTTATTTAATGTGATAACCTAATCGCCACCCAGTATAATCAACAACAGTTAAGGCTAAGCTATTAAAAAAACAGTTCATTATGACTTTGTATCAACTGATCGCACAACACAATATTACATTTATGAAAAGACCAAATTATAACAGTGGGCTTAACTTACTTTTTCTTGCCATAACAGAGGAAATTACCCGCCAATCAGAATTTAGCTCCACCAAGTTACTCTGCGGTGTATTATTTTTTTATACATTAGATCGGTTGGCTACCGAATAATATCCTTGTAGGTCTTGTAACAGGAGCCGCAGCAGATTTCTCAGTCACGCCTGTCGCTATGGATGAACGCAATCAAACGAATTCAGTAGTGCTGCTATCGTTGATTGGATCGTTTGATTTATTTTATACTTAAAAAGTATTGAAATTATTTGACCATAAAATTATAACTATTTTAAATAAAAAGATATATTTTAATATTATAGATATTATATTAAATATTAAGATAAAAGATAAGAAAATAAATGACCAATAACTCTTCGCAACCAAATTTATCACAACGAAAATTAGTAGCGGTAGCTAAAAGATAAAAAAAAATATATATGTAGCAGTCAAATCACTTATTCTACTTTGACATATTTAACAAAAACTTAAAAGCTATAACGGCTTCTGACAAATCGTAATTAAATTCTTAAAATCCTGCGTCTAACAAACTGATTAAAAGATTTTCGTGACCAGCAGAGTCAGTGCTATGTGGTTAATAGCGATACAAATCGAAAATTGTTCAATTGAAATGAGTGGATAATTATTTTATATTCAAATAAATTTTATTTTACAATGTGTAAACTATTTAATAATATTTTGCTCTTGGCTTTACTGACGTTCATGTCTCAATCCATTATTTAAACTATTAAATATCAATTAAAATTCAATTTAATCCTCTAAGAAGTGTTAGAGTGATTACACAACAAAAATCCGAACCAATAAAGTTTCACATTTATCAAATATAACCGTAAGTTCTGTTACACATTAGAAGGAATATATTTTAAAGAAACAGTGTATTTTTTTTTTGAATAAGGGTGACAAACAGGCACACAGTCCACATAGATATATATGTCTACATCTGTCCTTAATTAAGAATCAAAATGTAGATGCCCCTACATTTGATTCATAATTTGAAGACTGAGGTGGAATGACTCTTTTCACATGAAAAGACTCTATAGTAGAGTAATAATAATAAAACAATTTTATAAAACGTACACATTTATCTTGGTTAGAGGCCTTAAATTTCTGTGGCCACGAATCTCAGGATTTAGGCACTGTCTCTATAGTAAATTTAGCCTCCGCTGACTCTAAAACTTTTTCGAGATACCCGATGTAAGACACATTTTGAGCAGGCTATGTCAGCTAGTACGGACCACAATTTGTAGTCCAACGGGTTCAAACCTGAACAGGAGTGGCCAGGCTTCAGCACACATGAAGTCCAAAGAGTTGTTTGTTCCTTATGACCAGGAGAAGAGTCGTATTAAAAAAATCATATACAGGCATTCAAAGCTCAGTTTAAATTAAGTTTAAGACAGCCACGTATTCTTCAAGTAGGTTTCAACGCATATGTTGAGAACTTTTTTACTGTATTAAGTATTTTACCCAACAATTATTTTACTACCTATTCTCATGAAACAAAGTATAGGATGCCGAGGTGTCGGATGAGGGCAAGAGGGAATCGTAAAGGGGGGAGGGACACAACCGCAAAGAAGACCTACAAACTCCACAGGTGTCGTCTGCGTCATACTTGTACTTTCATTTTTACTTCGATGCGTTTTGAACTTTTTTGAGCAGTCGTTAGGCAAAATATAACACGATTAGTTGCAATCCTAACTAAGGATAATAATACATAAATATAATATTATTAATAATTAACAAAGGTATTATCCAGCAGTCTCAACACGTCTTATCCTTTAAGTGCTTCTAATTTTTATTGTGTCTTTGGATGATGCATAGTTTTTATCAGACGATTTGATGTCGTTTCAAGCGCATGTGGTTAGAAAACGTTAACAAAGAGCTTGTTAAAATTCTTTATTGGATATAATAGCTGGACCGTTAAAAAAGTCACCTCATTAAAATCAAACAAAAGCTATGTAGGCTAAAAACCCATAAGAAATCTCTAAGTTAGTATAGAGATGAATGAACGCTGTTTTTATTGTTGTATTCCTTAGGTTTTATTTTTGATTGATATAATAGTTTTATTTTATGTTCTTATCTTGCTGTAAAATCTACAGTAAGGTATTTAAATGTCGTAAAACTTTGTGTTATAATTAATACATCAAATTTTTTATGTTTATCATATCTAGCGATAGTTTTCAAAATTACATTCTTTATGTATAAGCGTGTATAATTTTTATATAATATCAAAGAATTTGTTAGAGAACAGATTGATTGAAATTGATTTTGATTGCTGAGTCAGAAAAAATGTTTTAACGTTTAGCTACTTGGGTTATGTATGTATATATGTAGTAGTAACTGTATAATTTTAAACTTGTATAAGTATTTATTATTATTTGTTGCAGTTCTATAACTTAACATCACTACCCGGTTAGCCGGATCAGAATGCCATTTCGGCAATATGTGTATCTTTGTATTTTGAGTGCACTAAGGAATGTTCTATCTATTTATCATCTACCTAAATGGTTTTGTATCGTCATTGCGCTGCTTATTAATTATCAAATATTTTAATATCCACCGCTGATTATTGTAAAGCTTTAATTAAGTTCAATTCCAATTAAAAACTAGATTATCGGATCTACTTATTTCATTTTTATTTTAAAATCTTTGATTCATTCCCTTAGAAAAAAAGGATACAAAAGGCGGACTTAAACCCTAAAGGCATTCTCTTCCAGTCAACCCATGGAGTGGTGAAAGTTTGTCGTAGATGTAGCAATTAAAAGAAGAAGAAAAAGGAAGATAAACTAAAATAAAGACACATTATATGTAACATAATAGGTCATGAGATATCATGAGATTTCGACTCGGCAAGATAAACACATAAAAATAAAACAATAAACAGGCTCCTATATTTTGTAAATCCGTTTTGGCTACAGTACATTCATAATTAAATTTAAAATAAGCTAGATAGCTATTTAGCTAGTTACAGAAAAAAATAACGAAATATTTCAAACAAAATTCTAACACATAGTTTTATTTTTATCATTTACTCGTATATAATTTAAACTTTTAGTAAAGTAAACCATTAACATCTAACTGAATTTTTAATTTCAATAACGTATTTTAAATTTATTTTTTATTTATTAGTCAAAGTCTCTAGTAACATATAAATCAATATTTAAAGATTATCTTGTTATGAATAGATAAGGCTGTTCTAATAACCGTAATATTAATACTGATAGAACTTTGACAAAATCGTCCTAAAACATTACATTGCTAGCTGTGATACATAAATCATGTTAACGTCAGATTAGTGAATGCGACTAACTGAATATGTCACTGGTGATTTAACCTTATTTGTTTGTACCTCAATAGAGGTTAGGTATTACTATTACACTTATTTTGAGCATAACAAGAAGTGTTTTAGATATGCACTTGACTCACGAGTACTTTAGAGTAAGATGAGATCTAGGAATAACATTTTTCATTGGCATCTGAAAATATAATGAAAAAGATAGAGTCAAGGCATTTAACTTTAACTAACAAATGTACATTTTTTTATATAGGATAGGGTGACAAACGAGAACACAGTCCACCTGATGGTAAGAGGTTGCTGTGGCCCATAGACATCTACATCTATCTTCGTTTGCGATTTAAAATACAGATGCGTTGTCACCCGTGAGGACTAAGATGGAATGTGTCTTTTGCAGTAAAAAGGATCTTCGGTTCTCTACACTCACCATACGAAACAGAGCAGTTTTAAGTTGCTAATTTACGCTGGTATTCTGTGAGAACGTGGTCCTTCCCCGGTCGAGGCGACCCATTCGTGCTACAACTATACTACTAATATAGCTGCAGCATGGCTCTACCACGTAAAACGTGTCGTGTCTACCACGTACATTAAGGGTACTTACTACTTTTCACATTTTGTAAGCAGATACGTGCAAACTTATTTTTTTGCAGGAAAGTTGTCAATCAACTACTTTCGTAGTTTCTTGTTATCATTGAACGAGTGTAAATTACATTTTACCAGTTATGCCTGTTTGATTGATGTCAAAAAAATTGATGATGCCTAAAATACGCTTAATGCATACATCGTAACCTCTCAACAAAATCTGGATGGGATTTAAATTCAAATATTTCTCACTCCATTAGGCGAGTTGAGTGGCTTGCGCCAATTTTGTTTGACACTGCAGTCGCTCGCTAGCATGTGCGTTGTGCGCGCGTGTCCACTATCTTATATCAGATAGTTTTGGCGCCATCAATTTTAATTTTCGAGCAACATTTATACACAAATTGTCCAGGTATTTCAAATTATCAATTGTGATTTATACTGACTGTGTAGTGATAAAGGACTCATGAAGATGACAGTTAATCGAATAAGAGTGGTAGTGCTTGGTAGCGCACGCTGTGGTAAATCTGGTAAGTCTTGCTGGTCAATATTAATTAAAAAATATTTGTGATTATTGTTAATTTTATTACAAAATGGACCTGACACCATAAATAGTTTTTACTTTGTCGCTACAGACAAGACGCCGAAATCAATTACTTTAATAGCTTTAGAAATAGTTCTTTGATTTATTTCAAAGATCCTAATCTCATTAATTATGCCATGTAATCGTCGTAATTTGGGTGGGTAATTTAATTTTTTAATAATTATAATTTAACTCTTTCTGTCAGACGTTTCTTAATAGATAGCGATAGTTTAGACGATATACTTATATTAGCTGAAATTACATTTTTCAATTAAATTTTAATAATGAAATTGTTAACTTAGTACGAAGGTGTAGTTCAAGTTTAATTTAGTGGAGACTTTTGGTAAATTTAATTTGCAAGCATACTTATCCTACGTTTGAGCATCGATGAGATTTAGTTTCACATATTATGTATTCTTACATACTTATATGTACATATTCTTTGACAAACCTAATTGATAACGCATAGTTAATTATTATCAAGATACCTTAATACAACTGTTTATTGTGAAAACTTATAGAGCTATTTACTATATTCTAGACCTTTATTGCCTCAGATCAATGTAATGTAGTATTTTACTTGCATTTATTTAATGATATTTTTAAATCAATATCATTAGGTCGATAAATAATTTACGCAATGGTGTATATTATCTATTTTTATTTTGGTTAAAGTAATTTTGGTAGATTTATATCTTTCGTTGTGATGGAATGAGTTTGGGAACAGGCATGACAAAAGATTTGTCTAAAACTCGTCCGTCGTCTTTTTTGCATTTTATAATTAATAAATCTCCACACTGCGGTTTACAATATTATTCTCTTTCTCGACTAGACAGGTTGGACATTTGCAATGCCTTGAAGCAATGAATGATCTACGGGATATGATAATTAGGTTAGGCCGCAAGATCCTTTTCAAACCAAACGCTTCCTGTCGTTTACTGCACCTGCCTTTAATAAGAGAAATGTTCTTTGTTTCGCCTCGAGGTTTAAAGCGAGTAATGCTTCTTATCAGTTGTCTCGGATACCTGCCGTTTGATAAGTGGTACTGTGTCAATAGGCCGTCGGCTGATTCTATAGAACTTATATCAGTGAGATAGCTGATGTTATGCGCTCTGATTGTTTTAACGATATGCGATGTTTTTGTTTGTCAAATGCATTCCTCTGCGCAACTGCGTATTTGTTCTTTTATTAGCTTCGTGTCACTTATTTTCGTGTGATTATATTATTAAAATTTAACGATAGTAAACATTCTTTGTAACACAAAGTTGAGGGCGTTTTTAGTAACATCACTTTAGTTAGTATTGTGGCAGTGGAAGGAAACACAGCATTAAAAGTCCTATGAATGGTAGTAGCTCAAGGGCTGAGTGCTCGCCGCAAATATCCGCGAGTAACAGGGGTTCGATCCCGGCGGCACCAATGAAATTGTTAATTGTAATTTTAAATACTGATTTAACACACGCATGGCAGTGAAGAAAAACATCATGAGAAACCTGCATGTGAGGAATAAAAATATTTTGAAGACATGTAAAGTCCGCCAACACGCACTGGAGCAGCGAGATGGGTCATTTGCTTTCTACTATCTATTTTCTACTAACGATTTACTACTTGAGAGGATACCTTGAAAATGAATCGTAGTATTGTGGGCGTGGCTTAGCCTGTCGTCGATGAAACTCACGAACGTCTGTGGGAGTGTCAAAATGAAAGTGGTGCAATTACTTCATGTAGGTACCCAAATAATGAGATAGTTATACCGAACACGCGCTCGGAATTTTTTTTTAACAAAACTACGTTAAGAACTAAACGTTTAAGGTTTATGTGAACTTATATATGATTATTTACTATGCTTTAAAAATAATTCCATGAACTAATTCGTAAAAATAATGTGGTGGCATGGAGAAATGTATGTATGGATGAAAAATTACATGTTATCGTTTTATAAAACATAAAGAAATATGTGAAATAGAAAAGCCACTAAATTTTCAAAATGTGTTTATTTACTTATTTGCTAATGTAGTATAAATAATAAACTTAAGATAACCCGGCTAAACTTTGATTTAGTTTTGAGTGTTGCCTACACTCAAAACTAAACCAAAGTGTTATTTTTTTTTCATGCTAAATCTTTCAATCTATCGGCTAAAAATAAAGAAACAATGAAAGTGAAAGGGATATAAAAGAAATTAAGTACTTTAATTATTTATTGTATATAATAAACAGCAGTTAAAAGTAACCCAGTAGTTGTTAAACTTACGTGTATTTGATTTACTTGTGGCTACTTAGTGTATAGCTGCTAGTTAGTAAATTAAGGTACGGTTGACACTAGGGAATGCAATTCCGCAAGATAATTTCAATCCAGGTATTTGCTGGATTGAACCATCTTAGTCCCGCTGGATCCAGGTATTTGATGGATCCAGCAGGGTGGAGCTAGACCTCTGAAATCTAAATTAAAGACTTCGTTTCCATGGTTTTAATTTGAAGCCAAATTAAACAAGCCTTTTGGTATATTTTAAATGGTTTATTTATTACTTTAGACATACAGATGATGACATAAATTGCAGTGATAATTAAACATTATTTTGGAAGTAGCTTCTTAAAAAAGTTAAAGTATTAATTGTGTCATCTGCTAAACAGCTTCTGATATTGCACACAAGGTAGCCAGCAGCTGAAAAAGCCCGCTCAGCTTCCACGCTGGTTGGTACAATAGTCATAAGTGCGTTATAGGCGAACTGAAGGTAAGTGCCTTTTAATCCACCCGACTCGAAATAGTTCATTTCCTTCTTTATCAAAACCTCAAGGTTACTCATACTTCCAGACCTAGGTGGCTGGGCTGTTGAGCCAGGACTTTTGATACTAGTCAAAGTCAGTTCGAGTTCGTTTTCAAGTGACATTGGTGCTGCGGCTGCCGTTTGCGTCTCGAGATTAGAGAGAGGGATGTCGTCATAAGGATCATCAACAGGAGTAGTGGTTACTGCATTGCTTCCTGTGTACTCTAGCCTTTCTACTATATTTTTGATGGCTTTGCGTATTACACTCTTTGGAGGTAGATTGAATGTTTCATCATAAATAAATTGACTTTTGTCTTCTTCGTACTTATGTGGATCATGTAAGTATAATAAAACCGCTGTCAAGTCAGTTCGCCGCTCTGAGATACGTTTCCTCAACGAATCAACAAGTTTTCGGGCTAACGGTTTATTAATATTTATCAGTTTGCTAATAATAAATCTCAAAGTAGTTTCCGCAGTAATCAAATTAGACTCACGTCTACACAAAACTTCGACTGCTAATTTTACCGGCTGTAATATTCGTTCTAGATCCATTAGCACATCATATTCCTGTTCAGTGAAAACGTAGTCATGATTTGCACCAAGACCTAAGTCAATCAGGGTTTTCGATACGCACGATCTTATTTTGTCGAATATTGTTATCATTTCGCACAGGCTTGACCACCTTGTTTGACAATCCAACAATAAAGCAATATTTTACCCCATGTCTTTTGTCATATACGTCTGCAGCAGATCGTTTTTAGTAGGCGAATTTTTAAATAGTTTCACTACTTTTCGTACCTTCTTAACAACTTCTGCATATTCCACAGTCAGGTTTATTTCACTTGTAGGTGTAGGAAAAGACAAATCAAAAATGTCATTTTCGTCATTTTCCAAGTCATTGTCACAATTCTCATCAGCTCTTTCACTAACTGTCTCATTTCGCACTGACATTTCTTCATTTGATGCTTCGTGGCCACTACGTGAAGATGTATTTTGTTTATAAATAACATCCAAAACAGCCAATTGGATGCCATGTGCATAACAGAGTTGTTGATGGGGTTTGATGAGTTTCCCAACTTTTACCATGACTTTGGCACCATCTGTGGTAATACAGATTACATCCTTATCTAAAGATAGCTCGTATTCTGATAATTTTTCTTTTAAAACAGTGATACATGTTTCTGCAGGTAGACTTCCGTAAATCCGCACCAGCCCTAAGTTCCAAGAAATAGATTTTTCATTAGCCAAGGCGTGAACATTAACGTTTAAATAGCGCCTATTTCTCGTTGAAGTCCATTCGTCGAAGGTGAGGGTGAATCTGTGGTTGCTCTCTTTCAGCTTTAGGAGATCTCGAATAATGGTAATTTTTACAGTCGTGCCGAAATGCATAACCATTAATTTGATAGAATTAGGCGATTTTGGTAACTTATAGCCCCCGGCTTTAAAAAGGTCTCGTAAATCCGACGAGGTGCAGAAAACCCGGAATGGAAAACCATCTTTTGACACCATGCGTGATACCCTCGTTTCTACAGCACTGTTTGCACTTGGAAAATGGTCAGTGATTTTGTGCTTCTTTGCCGAGGTTGATGGTTGAGCTTCACAATGAGTCGATGTCGAGGAACTGGACGTTGACGTAGTTGCAGAAGCTGCAGCACTTCCGCTCCCGTCTGATGCGCTTTCCTTGTCAATTTTGTGTTTTGACTTTAGATGCACATGTAAACCTTTTGTCGAACGTCCGGTCGTTTTAATTATTGATTTACACAACTTACATTTTGCGGTTTGTGAATCTTCGGCTTTCAAAAAGTACTTCCATACAGGAATAATACCACAAAAGTCTTTATACACTTTTTCCGACATTATTGTCATTCATTAAATAATACAAAACCTGTAAATTTCTCAGTTTATTCAGATTTATCTAAAGAAATCAATATTCTATGAAAAAATCACTGCGTAACGTCATAATCACCAGTTGTAACTGGCAAAATATTAAGTACACAAACAAAGGCGGGGGAATCCCCGCGCCCTCACACTGTTTCTCTGCACCACGCATCGCTTAGCTCAGTTTACGCGCCGCCGCGCGAACATTAACACGTATGGACCATGCTTCTCTGTAATCCCGCCAATCCAGCGGGATTCCGTAATATTTTCGTACGAGATTAGTCCCGCAAAATGCATGCGGAATCCA